AAGCAGACAGTATACCTGTGGTATATTCATTATGACGGAAAACTGACGTTTAATTGTAAATTTTGTTTGGAATAAGTTGTTTTCGCTATTGATGAATTCTGATTTATCAAAATTGTGCAATTGAAAAAAAAAATTTAATTTGCCTCCAGCTCGATGTGATGTCCATTTCTGGGAAATTTTCTCTAGTCGTTAAAGAGAGGTATAGCTTGTATTTATCTTGTACAGGTCCTAGGACGTAACAGCATAGTTAGCCGTAACAGCATAGTTAGACGTAACAGCCTAGTTAGCCCTGGACAAAGCAATTCACTGGGGGCCCCTACCCAGATGATGGGCCCAGCCCGTCCTTAAACTGTAGAATTACCCTCAGATAATTATGCACAAATGTATTATAAATATAATTTGAAAAGGGATTTGGATGCAGGCATTTCCAGTAAGAGGGCGAGTAATTCCCACCTGCCCAGGCTACCCATGCATTTTATTATTATTATTATTTTCTACCACAGACGTGGCCACACATTTACAATGCTAACCAGCATATATACATTTTCTTCTGCAGGGTTAGAGTTAGGGTTAGAGACAGGGTTAGAGAAGTGGTAAACATATAGTTCAATACCCATGCATTAAGAGGGTACTGATAGTGTACCGTCCCTCCTCTTGTCATCTCTTCCCATTTTCATCACCTTACACTTCCTGGTGTTGAAATCCAGCAGCCATTTTGGTTTTGGGACTAACTGTGCAGCTTCTCTGGGTCATTGTAAAATACTTTACAATCCACATGCCTTGACTCTTCTCATTATTTATTTATTATATATTTGTTTATATACACGAATGTGCATTGGGTTTATGAGCGTACATAGCATTAAATGTTTTTATATTCTTGTAAATATAAATAATTGAATTTGTTGTAAAGCCACTAGCACGCATAGCGTTTCGGGCAGGTCCTTATTCTAACAGATAATTTTAAGTAGGTAATTTCATGCAAAATTGAAAAAAAAAAATTAAAGGTACATAGTAAGAAAATTTGACTAAGATTAGTAGGTACATTAATGTAAAATTAGAGGGTTATCAACTGGTACATTGTAGCAAAATTTGAAGATTATTTAAAGGTATAATGCAATAAAATATGCGTTCAATATAACAACAATGATATATGATGATAGCAATGATTACAATGGTAAAGTTGTATGATTTAGCTACATATATTGGGGATTGGGTAGCACTAGATACATTGCGAGTTTAAAGCACTAGGTAGTTTAACGTTTAAAAGCCCTATGAAGATGAAATTAGGTACTCTTTTATTTTATTTTTGAATAAGGCAAAAATTGGACAGCTTTTCAATTCGTCAGGGAGTGAGTTCAAAAGACTGGGTCCTCTGATTTGCATGGAGTGTTTTCACATATTTAGTTTGACTCTGGGGTATATCAAAGATATATTTATTTCTGGTGTGGTGCTCATGGGTTCTATTACATCTATCAAGGAAAAGTTTCAGATCAAGATTAGCATTTAGGAACAAGGTTTTGTACATGTAAAAAGCACATGAGAATGTGTGGAGTGAGTGTATGTTTAGCATGTTAAGGGACTTGAACAGAGGGGCTGTGTGTTGTCTGAAGACAGAGTTTCTTATCGTTCTGATAGCAAATTTTTGCTGAGTGATGATGGCTTGAGGTAATTTGCAGTGGTTGAACCCTATGCACAATTACCAACCCATGAGTAAGATAGGGATATCTTAGCGCGTAGTATAATGAGAGGAAAGCGGAGTAGGGGACATAATATCCGATTTTAGAATGTATATCGACCGTTTTTTTGAGACTTTTTTGGCTGTGTGTTGTATGTGGGTGCTGAAGTTAAGTCTCTTGTCTATGTATAGGTCAAGGAACACTCCCTCATTGTTATTGCTAATGTTAACATTGTCTATCTGAAGTTGAACTTGATTTCCATGATTTACTATCAAATAAAATGCAATAAGTTTTTCTATGTTTAGTATGAGCATGTCTGTGAGAGAAATAACAATAATGATGAAGTGACATTGAGAATAATGAGAATAATCACAAATAATGAGAAATAACATTGGTCCTAGCACTGATCTTAGATTCCGATTACTCGCCCCTCACTATGACCATCTGGTACCTGTCTGCTAGGTACTCTCATGTCAATACTCTTCATGTTTTTGGCTGACCAGAAATACGCAATCTGCCCATCCTTCTCTGTCTTATTTTAATCCGGTATTAGTCAATATATATAATGTGTATGTAACGATCATATCACCAAATCTATGGCATCATCGCAAGTCTCCATGGCAACGTAGGCTGTATCTAGGCGGGTTGCCATGGAGACGAGCACCGAACCTCTGATTTGTGAAAGAGCAAAAGTGAATCTGGCAGTGTGGGTTCACACATGGATGTGTGGTGGTAATGGAGATGGATATCCTGCTACCCTACAGTCTCCCTCCATAACAAAGTTTGTAGTTTGTTATTAATATTATTATATTTGCAGATCACTTGTTAGTTTTAGCTGCTAAAGTCTAGAACTGCCCGAAACGCTATATGCGTGTTAGTGGCTTTACAAGAATGTAAAAAACATCAATGCTTTATACTCTTATAACCCCAAATGTACCTTCTTGCATATATATATATATATATATATATATATATATATATATATATATATATATATATATATATATATATATATATATATAATAAATAAATAACCCTTAGATCAAAATAAGCTTGTTCTGGAAATTGTTATGTAGCAGGTCGAATATGCTTGACATTTATTGCATACAATGTATTTACAATTCATTTACAAGGTTTGAATAGTTAGTCACTGTGTTTTGATTGCCAACTTGTCGCCAAACCTAATTCCATAACGTCACCCAGATGCCAATTTGAATATATTTTAGTGTATCCTTTCAGAAGTCCCGTTCTCTTTAAAGTAAATAGGACACGACATATTCGAGGAAGGACGAAACTAACCCTGTATTAATATAGTTATAATTCATAAATAATATAATGCAGTGTGTACGGGGACAGGCAACCAGTGTATATATACATGTTAGGTTGATATCGAGGTCCTTCTCATCCTAAGGTCCAACTACTGACCCTTCCCAGGATGCAACGGGCTATCTCCTGGGTACCTATTTACTGTTAGGTGAACGGGTGCATTAGGTGAAAGGAACGTACGTGCCAATCATTTCTGTCTCGCCTGGGATTCGAACCTGGAATTCCCGATTGTGAGTCGAGAACGAACCTGATTGTACTACCGGGACCCTATGATTTTTACCTGAATTTATCTGAGGATCGCTATTTCTGTAGTGGTATCGACGGGGAGAGGAAGCCGGCGGCTTGTCAAAGGTCTCACCATTGTTCTCAGGGATTTTTTACTGAAGTAATGTTTTTGTATTTACGGCTTCGGCAAGTAGGTTGTTCCATGGATTTATAACCCTAGTGGTGAAAAGGCGTCCTTTTGTTCTGTTACATTGTTACATTGTTCTGTGTTACATTGTTACACCGCTGCCCACTTGATGGGGGGGGCGGTGTGCAGGACAAACATATCAATTGTGACACTAGCTCTCCACATATGTCAGTTGCTTAATTTAGAAACTGTACTTGTGGTCGATCTCGAACCTATTGTTGATGTGACGACTTACACTGAATTTTCTAACTAGCTCATCAAGATTGTAACTTGCTTAGCTAAATGAATTGTGGGATTCAGTCCCTGAGCCCATTATGTGCCTCTGTAACCCTTTCCACTACCGCCCACAAGATGGGTATGGGGTGCATAATAAATGGACTAAACTAACTGTTACATTGTGCCTTGTTGAGCTTGAAGCTGCTGCCTCTTGTTTATGTTACATTATGTCCTTTCATAGAAGTCTAAATTAATATCCTGCATCTTGATGTGATCTGTCCTGTCATGTCTGGTTTGCGGTGTTGTTAATCCTGTGGAGTTTGTTATTGTTCTGACTGGTTAATTATGTTGAGTAATTATGAACATGAGGTAACTTTCAGCTGTGTGTAGTAGCTCCTAAAGCGTAGTTGTTGTTGTTGTTTTAGATTTAGCTACTCAGAACGAAATGTCCATGTAGCACGGGCTATGGTGAGCCCATAATTAAGTTCGGTTATTCGCGATAACCTTGTTACTGTAATATTTGGGTCAAAGTATTAGATGGTGGTGGGGTTTCCTCCTTTTTCCCTGTTTCTTTTTCGCTTCTGTTTTAGTCTTGTTTTGATAACATTATCTTGGTGGCGGATGTAGGTGCAGAATGTTTACTAGTGAGTCCCATTCTTTAACGGATACGCAGCCCTCCCCAAGCGTAGGTATCGTAGGTGATATATATGAACGAAGTGTTATCAGCACTGAGTGAGGTACACAGTTAATGGAGGTTGTAGAGTCTGCCTTCCGTTGTAAATACATATTTATCACGATTTCAATTTGTTGTCTACGTGTATGACCTCTAGATGTTACTGATGTTCGGCTTAGGTTCGATTACAAATATCTGCGGCAGTTAACATGACAAATTAAAAAACTTTAAAGATAAAATTATCACAGATGTTCAAACAATGTGTATATGATGTTTAAAATTAAGTGCTACCAGACATCTTAGCCAAGTACAGCATCCAAAGTCTACCTATAATGTAGGGTAATTGCAGGGCATGGACGTGATTGTAAACTTTCCACCACAGCCTACTATAGATGGGCGTGAGATGCATGGTAGGCAAAGATAAATTACCTGTAAATGTCAATTCTTTATCTTAGAGATTATTGTGGCACAGTTTTTTTAACCCTAAGGTAAAGAAAGGCATTGCCAGACATGTGGCTTAATTGATCAAATAATTACAGTACGGTTACATCCTGCAATAATACAATTAAGCCATATAATATACAATACATATATACAGTCTAAGCACTGTCTGTTCACTATAACAATAAGCAAACTGCATATGAATAAAGCTAGGACAAACAGAAATTAAACTAGAAGTTAAAAACATTCTACCAACCTGTATGCAAGCGCGACACAGCTGATCTGACGATCATAAACAATAACAGTCAAATGAGCATCCATCCGGTACAATAATAGCTCCGCTCCCGATACAATAGATATGACACTTTTACTACAAACCCATTGTGCAAGAAACGCCTGTTGATATATACTATAAACTCTAACTAGATTATTATCAAGATTGTAACTTGCTTAGCTAAATGAATTTGGGGTTCAGTTCCTGAGCCTATTATGTGGATGTGAAACCTTTTCCACTACCAGTCACGGGATGGGTATGGGGTCCACTACCAGTCACTGGATGGGTATGGGGTCCACTACCAGTCACTGGATGGGTATGGGGGTCCACTACCAGTCACAGGATGGGTATGGAGTCCACTACCAGTCACGGGATGGGTATGGGGTCCACTACCAGTCACGGGATGGGTATGGGGTCCACTACCAGTCACTGGATGGGTATGGGGTCCACTACCAGTCACAGGATGGGTATGGGGTCCACTACCAGTCACAGGATGGGTATGGAGTCCACTACCAGTCACAGGATGAGTATGGGGTCCACTACCAATCACAGGATGGGTATGAGGCCCACTATCACTCACATAATAAGTATGGGGTCCACTGTCACTCGCAGGATGGGTATAGGGTCCACTACCACCCACGGATAGGGTGGATATAAGATCCACCACCACTCACAGCTATAAGAATGGCTATGGAGGTCCACTACCACTTACAGGATGGGTATGGGGTGCATAATAGCCTAACCAATCCCATGCACGATAAACATCAATTATGAAACTAGCTCACCACATATGTAAATTGCTTAGCTAAAAGACTGCACTTGCGGTCGATCTCGAGCACATTGTTGATATAATGTAGTTAGTATAATGTTTTATACTTTCTTACAATGTACCTGTAAACATTTTCTAATTTTGCTAGAAATTACCTTCTTAAAATTATATGTTAGATTAAGGATCTGCCCGAAACGCTATGCGTGCTATAGTGGCTTCACGAGAATGTAAAACTTCAGTTCTCTGCACTCTAATAAACCCAATGTACCTTCTTGTATATAAATAAATAAATAAATAACAATATATTATACATTAATTTTTGTTAACTAGCTCATCAAGACTGTAACTTGCTTAGCTAAATCAAGTAGTTGAACGTTGAGCAGTTGAACGTTAGATCCCTAGGTAAACACTTCGATGATGTTAGTGCCTTGATTGAAGCTATTGACAACAAATTCTCTTTTATTATACTTACTGAAACATGGTTGAAAGAGGATACTACTCAGCTCTTTAACATGCCTAACTACTCAGCAATTCACAACTGTCGTCAAATTCAGAGAGGTGGTGGCACTGCTCTTTACTACCACCAAGAACTAACATGCTTAAAAGAAATTAGAACCAGAGACTGCTATGGGGAGTATATCTTCGCCAGCTTCAGAGTCAAGGGTGCCGAGTCTGTCCTGACTGTGGGTGCAGTTTATAGAATTCCTAACACTGATGTGTCCGAATTCAACTCAAACCTTAGAAATCTAATACTTGATAACAGACTGAACAAAAACCACCTAATTATCGCAGGGGACTTTAATATTGACCTCTGCGAGCCTGAACACCCCACTGCTGTTAGCTTCCTCAACTGTATGAATTCCTGCTTCCTCATACCCTTAATCACTAGACCTACTAGAATCACTGATAGCACTGCCACGACGCTCGATCACATCTGGACAAACATAACCTCTCCGCTTACTTCAGGTATAATCACCGATAGCACTACAGATCATTACCCCACATTTCTCTTAACTAACATTAGCAAACCACCTCTTGAGTCAAGAGTGATACGTTTTAGACTACACAATGAAACTGCTATAGACAATTTTATAACTGCTGCTGATAATGTCAACTGGGAGTCCGAGTTAGGTAACATAGTGGACATCAACCTTGCAGTACAATCTTTTCTTCAAAAAACTCTTAGCCTTTATAATACCCACTGTTCTATGCTTACAAAACAAGTCACAACCAAAAGGCTTAACAATCCCTGGCTTACAAAGGGAATACTTAAATCTATTAATAAAAAACATGACCTTGAGAAGAAGTATAGGTTAGGAATTGTCTCCAAAGAATTCTCAAAGAATTACTCATTATTGCTGTCTAAGATAATTAGACAAGCCAAAACTAAATACTACGAAGATAAATTTACCCACATAAAGAGCAACATTAAACAAACTTGGAGAACAATTTCTCAAATATTGGGATCAAAGAAGTCTTTAAATAACAAACCGACTCTCCTGTCTAATAACGTTGGTCAGCTTTCAGCCTCTGATTCTGCTACTGAGTTCAATAGGTTCTTCTCTTCCATTGGTTCATCCCTTGCAAATGATATTCCATCTTCCAGTACAGACATTAATGACTATCTTTCAGGTAACTATCCACAGTCTCTGTACCTAAAGCCTATTAATTCCACTGACGTCAATGAGATAATCCTTTCCCTTAAAACCAAGTCTGGTGCCCTTGAGGAGATACCAACTTTAATTTACAAAAAAGCCTCCAGATCTTTAGCCCCTGCTATTGCTTTGCTCTTCAACAAGTCACTTGAACTCCAAACCTTCCCAGATATTCTAAAAAAAGCGAGAGTAACGCCTGTCCACAAATGTGGTAATCTCACAGATGTTAACAACTACAGACCTATATCTATCCTGCCAAACTTGTCAAAAATTTTTGAAAAACTAATCTATAAGCAGCTTTACTCATATCTAGCCAAACTCAATATACTTAGCCCTTGCCAATATGGCTTCAGACCCAAAAAAAGCACTAACGATGCACTTATTAGTATGCTTAACTCGATTCATACAGCTCTTGAAAAAAATGAGTTCTCTGTTGGGTTGTTTGTGGACCTGCGTAAAGCTTTTGACACTGTCAACCACCAAAACCTTCTTCTTAAATTACATCATTATGGAGTCAGAGGACACTCCCTACAATACCTCAAATCCTACCTTACTGACAGGCTCCAATATGTTTCTGTGAATAATACAATTTCTCCCACCCTACCCATCAACATTGGTGTTCCCCAGGGCAGCATACTTGGCCCTCTCCTCTTTCTCATCTACATTAATGACCTTCCAAATGCCTCCCAACACCTCAAACCAATTCTATTTGCTGACGACACAACCTTCATTTACTCCAGTCCTGATCCCCTTGCTCTAAATGCCACAGTAAATACTGAGCTAAATAAAGTCCATCTGTGGCTAACTGCCAACAAACTCACCCTTAACATTGACAAAACCTTTTATATTCTGTTTGGCAATAAATCCTCTAATCAAATAAATCTCAAAATAAACAATACCCAAATTTGTAACAAATTAGATGGCAAATTCCTTGGCATTCTCATTGACCACAAGCTTAATTTCCAGGGACACATTCTAAACATATCAAAAAAAGTTTCAAAAACTGTGGGCATTCTTTCTAAGATCAGATATTATGTACCACTCCCTGCCCTGGTGACTCTCTATTACTCCCTTATCTATCCATATCTCAACTATGGTATTTGTGCTTGGGGCTCTACTACCCAAAATCACTTACGTCCTCTAATTACTCAACACAAAGCTGCTATTAGGACAATATCCAATTCTGGCCCCAGACATCACTCGGTACCCCTACTTAAATCTCTGAATATGTTAGACATTAAGTCACTGCACATTCTCTCATGTGTATTATACATATATAAAACGCTAAACTATAATGCCAATCCTGATCTCAAAAGCTTCATAGAAGGTTGTATCAGAACCCATGAGCATCACACCAGAAATAAATACAGTTTTGATATTCCTAGAGTACGACTTAATCAAACTAGAAATGCTCTACAAATCAAGGGGCCCAGAATGTGGAATGACCTTCCCAATCATGTTAAAGACTGTACCCCTCTCAACCAGTTTAAGTTAAAAGCGAAGCTATACCTAATAAATTCCCTGTAACCTACCTTACCCTTCTATTGTCAACCAATGTCTGTTTTTTTCTTTAAAGAGCGCTGTTTGTCGACATAATTATATTTGTGCTGCTTTTTCATCTATGTTTTCATTTCTTGTTTTCATTCTACTCATTATGCTCAATTAGTATTAAGCTTGTCATTTAAGTTTATCATGCCCGAAACGCTTTGCGTAATAGTGGCTTTAGGCATTGTATGTACTAGCTATACCTATAAGTTAAACAATCCTTGTAAATATTTATTGTATGTATGTACCTTACCTAAATAAAATTGTATTGTATTGTAAGTTTGGGGTTGAGTCCCTGAGCCCATAATGTATTTACCATTTGTGTCTGCAGAATCGAGCTATTAGCTCTTGGATCCCGCCTTTCTAACCAATCTATTTTTCCTCTATTATATCTACTACATAAATTTCTCTAACACACACACACATATCCCCAGGAAGCAGCCCGTAGCAGCTGTCTAACTCCCAGGTACCTATTTACTGTTAGGTGAACCGGCGCATCAGGGTGAAAGAAACTCTGCCCATTTGTTTCCGCCTCCGCCGGGGATCGAACCCGGAACCTTAGGATTACGAATCCCGAGCGCTGTCCACTCAGCCGTCAGGCTACTAAAATGCCGCCGGCTTCCTGTTCTGGGCGAGGCCAATACTGTGATAGTGTCCTTCAGGTAAATACAGGTAAATATACTTAGCCTGGCTCCAGGCTTGCGCCTCGTCTTACCACGCTGCGCAAAAGCAATATATATATACACACCAAAAGGTATACTTCTTTTTTCGGTGTAGATGCGCAGAAAGATTACCGAAATATACCTGCTGGTTTATTGATCACTATTTAAACTCTTGGGATGACACATAACCATCCAGTTGAAATTGAAATTGAAATTGAAATAAGTTTATTGAGGTAAAATACGCACAAAGGAATGAGGTAGCTCAAGCTATTCTCACCCCGTTCAGTACATCGTGTTAATACATACATAGACACACATCACAAACAATAACGTATTACCGAACATTCTGAGAGATAAACATATACATTTGCTATCCGGTTGGTAGTTATCTAGACCCCAATACCAAACTCAATCATCATGACCAACCTCCAGTAACAGCGCTTATCATAATGATAATACTGTAATAAACAAGTTGAATATAATTAATACTAATAAAATTCTATTTATACAAATATGCCTCAAGGTATTTATTACGCATAATAATTACGCACTGTGTTGATAAACGGATATTTACGCCCGACATCTGACTTGGATTCGAGTAATAATAAAATATTTCTAGTAATATAAAATAAGGTTTTATTAGAGGAAATAAGGCCACAAGGAGGACAATTGGCAACATAATAATGACGGTGGGAACGGGCGACGCCACCAGCCCTAAACCATTGCAGCTGTGTTGTCTAACTACCATTTTTTTCCTTTGTGGCTTTTCGATAGGCTTTTATTCCGTCTTTTTTCCACTCATTAACCTTGGCTTGCCTACACCCTGCTGAAATATACTTTAAATGACTCCATATAGGGGAAAATACAGTCATTATACCACAACATGTCAACGGCCGCCGCCAACACTTGGCAACTCTCTGCTCACGTTTCTCTGTTTTGTCTGCTTCTGCTGTTCTATTTTGATGGAAAAAGACATTTTTCATGATGGTTCAGCTCGATAATGTTACTATGACGTGTGGAGCAGAACATGACCATCACGTCTGGCAGGATTTAATATTAAGCTGCAGAGCGATATGATGTATGGGAAGTATTTGCCAGGTTTTTAAAAGACTTTATTTTGCAATTATGCATAAAAAAACCTAAATACTTAGTTTATTTGCGTTCATGTGAAGTTGTAAGTATTTTACGTGTATAATGGTTTGGAGTAAAGGTATGCGTGGTGTGTGTGTGGAGACCGGAGGGGCGGGAGGAGACACTGTGGCCGCCGCTGCCATCACTGGAACACCGACCATCAGCTTAAGAGGCTCTCGGAGAGGTCAGTGCTATTTGGATTAATAATTGATCTTCCACGAGTAATTGTTGCAGTTAACTGGTTCCTCTCCATAGAAATCGTAGCCGTAAGTAATACCGAAGGGTTCTTTGCACTCTAGGTTCCGTACTTTTCATAATAATAGTAAAACAAAATCGCCCTATCCAATAACCAAGGCCAGGTGCATGCTACCGATTTGAGATTGTGAATGGTCGCGTTCCTAAATATACCCGCAGTGTGGCGTGCCTCGTCAGGGCCTTCCACCCGCTTGACACAACGACAGATTTTTTCTTTACACGGGCGTGTGGGCGTGGTGGTGGTGCGAGAGGTGCAGAGGGCCAGGATAAGAGAGGAATGGAGGTGTGGGTGGTAGCGTGTGGCACCCGGGGCAGCTCTCCCCTGGGCTGGGGCGCCTCTCTCGTATATACCTCAGTTTTAACCCAATTTAACATGCAGGAAGACTGCAGCTGCTCCTCGACGCTGCATTTAACACCATCTTGCAACACCCGACGTTCCCCTACCACCTAACGAGCCAGTAAATAACTTAATAGCCATCACGGCAATGCATATATGTTTTTGCCGAGAATATATATTCACCGCATTTACACCAATCATATACATCAGCTCCAACACATGATAGATCACGCACGTCGTCTCTATATCCGTGTTAATAGTACCAGTTTACACCAAGAATATCTTTTGTTTCCCTCTAACTGTGTGTGGTAATGGTAAGACATTGAGCGAGCGCGTTACACGAGCCTCAGGTGAAGAACATTCCCGTGTGAAAGGTCAATGCCACCCGCCTCCCACCACTATTGACGCCAGCATTATGCTTCACCCACCCGGCCCCCATCTCTCTCTCTCCTCACACCTCCCTTGTTGACAACACCTGCACGTTAATGTGTATAATATCTTCACACCCTCCTCCCCCCTTGTTGACAACACCTGCACATTACTGTGTATTATCTAAACAGCCTCCTCCTCCCCCCTTGTTGACAACACCTGCACATTACTGTGTATTATCTAAACACCCTCTTCCTCCCCTCTTGTTGACAACACCTGCACATTACTGTGTATTATCTAAACACCCTCCTCCTCCCTTGTTGACAGCACCTGTATGTTAATGTGTATTATCTAAACACCCTCCTCCTCCCCCCTTGTTGACAACACCTGCACGTTAATGTGTAATATCTAAACACCCTCCTCCTCCCCCCTTGTTGACAACACCTGCACAGTAATGTGTATTATCTTGACACCCTCCCCCCCCCTTTGTTGACAACACCTGCACAGTAATGTGTATTATCTTGACACCCTCCCCCCCCTTTGTTGACAACACCTGCACAGTAATGTGTAATATCTTCACACCCTCCCCCCCCTTTGTTGACAACACCTGCACATTACTGTGTAATATCTTCACACCCTCCTCCCCCTTCCCCATGTTGACAACACCTGCACATTACTGTGTAATATCTTCACACCCTCCTCCCCCTTCCCCATGTTGACAACACCTGCACATTACTGTGTAATATTTTCACCCCCCCTTGTTGACAACACCTGCACATTACTGTGTAATATTTTTACACCCTCCTTCCCCCCCCCCCCTTTGTTGACAACACCTGCACATTACTGTGTAACACCTTCACACCCTCCTCCTGGAGTCTAAGCCAGCGGGGTGCTATAGTAGCGGCCATCAGTCTCATAGCATCGTACTCATACCCCATATTTAAGAGGAATAGTTATCAATAAAACAATATAAACATAACCCCATATATACACAATATATATATATATATATATATATATATATATATATATATATATATATATATATATATATATATATATATATATATATATAATAATATGACTGTCAGACCATAGAGGAAAAATTGAAACAGGAATTTCCTTAAGTACTTTCGTATATTAATACATTTTCAGAATGAATGAATGATATATAAGGTGTATATATATATATATACATTATATATATGGTGTATATATATTATATATATAATATATATATATATAGTATATATATATATTATATATAAGGTATATATATATAGTATATATATAGTATATATATAGTATATATATATATATATATATATATATATATATATATATATATATATATATATATATATATATATATATATATATATATATATATATATATATATATATATATATATATATATATATATATATATATATATATATATATATATATATATATATATATATATATATATATATATATATATATATTAATACATTATATATATAAGGTATATATACACATTATATATACAAGGTATATATATATATATATATATATATATATATATATATATATATATATATATATATATATATAATATGACTGTCAGACCATAGAGGAAAAATTGAAACAGGAATTTCCTTAAGTACTTTCGTATATTAATACATTTTCAGAAGGAATGAATGATATATAAGGTGTATATATATATATATGCATTATATATATGGTATATATATATTATATATATATAATATATATATATAGTATATATATATATTATATATAAGGTATATATATATAATATATATGTTTATATATATAGTATATATATATATAGTATATATATATATATAGTATATATATATATATATATATATATATATATATAGTATATATATATATATAGTATATATATATATATAGTATATATATATAGTATATATATATATAGTATATATATATATATATATATATATATATATATATATATATATATATATTAATACATTATATATATAAGGTATATATACACATTATATATACAAGGTGTATATATATATATATATATATATATATATATATATATATATATATATATATATATATATATATATATATATATATAGTGTGTGTGTGTACACAATGTATATACAGTAATAAATCTATACACATTACTATATATATGCTTTATGCATACTTATTATGTATAATGTAATTATACTCGTATAAATAATATATGCTCTCTATAATGTGTATATTATATTTTATAGGGTAGTATTACGTGCAGTACAGCATTATACACCTAGCCATTATATTTTATCATATAGTATTGATCAGTGTTTTGGTTGATAAAGTTGGTGATCTTGAGCAGAGAAGAAAACCAATTACTGTGGACCTTCAGTGAAACTTAGGATGCATTCTTAATAGTACAGTACAATCTAAAGTTTTAACTGTTAAGTGATTCCAGTGAAGTAACATCAGTGCCAGTGATAGTGGTTATCAGACTTTATCAATGTACATCATGGCATGTCATCAAAGGAAAGGAGAGAGAGGTACAAGGACCCATGAAATATCTGTACCTTAATGTGTTATATATTTTCAGTGATTGTATTAGCATAATGACAACTGGAGCAGCAGGAACAAGCAATGACAATTCGCCAAAGAAGAAGGGCTGGCCAAAGGGTCGTAAGCGCAGGCTCCTCCCTAAAGATTCTAATGCACCGAAAGGACCGCTTTCGGGTAGGTTTTCTTTCAGATATTGAGGCACTGGAAAATGTCACAAGAATTAGTATTTCATAATTAAGTTTCACTAAAGATTTATCAGTAATTGGTTGGTATAAAAATATAGAATTGTAATCACCTCTCAAAAAGGAATGTTGTGAGGTATTGGTTGAGTTTTTCTAGGTTAGTTTGAAACATAAATATAATGCAAGCTGCAAGATAGAACTTAATATATTTCTACCTGTTATCTTGCATCTCTCTCTCTCTCTCTCTCTACAGTACATTATTTTCCTTGTCAGTATTACCAATGTTTTAAAATACCTGTGCTGTAGACTTAGTATAGAAACTTATGAGTTAAAAAATACATCACTTAATGTTTTGTTAATTTTTGGTTAATATCTTCAGTTTTGTAATTTTTTTATTCTTTAATGGTCTGACACTCGGGCACAAATCTTAGAAAAAATATACAATATATTAATGTATATACTATACTGTATATAGTATACAGTATATATTTTTTAAGATTTGTGCCCGAGCGCCAGGCCATTTAAGAACATTATATAGTTGTATGTGTGTGTGTGTGCTTCTTAAACTGTCAAACAAGCCAAACTCTAATAAAAGCTAACATTTTATGGGAGGTTATTGGTGGGTATCATTTCATGCCACTTCAAAAACTATGATATGCAATCTTTTAAATTTAAACCTTTACTGTCATAATCTAATTAAAATTAGCAAGCTTTTGTAACCAAAGTCAAATGAACAAGCTCTCTTAACCTAAATATAATTAGCACGGTTACCTAGCTTGGCTAAAATTAGCTTATTTAGGCTAGCTCCCCTAGCCTAAATATAATTTGCATAAGCTATTCTTTGTTTTGGCAAGTGTAGACAAAATAAGGCCTTTATTAGATAGTACTACTGTATGCAGTGAGTAAAAAAACATTAGTTTATCATATTTAAGACTGAATATTTAGCAGTACAGTTCACTAAATGTATAGACCAATAAAATATGGTTTAAGTATTTTCTCCTGTTATTTGGCAAGAGTAAATAGCACATATCATCTTTTAAAATGTATTTATTGTATAATATTTTCTGATTTTATCATTCAGCGTGATAAAACACTATTGAGTCAAATTTATATGTACCTGTACTGTAGTTTTGTTGGTAAATACAGGTCACTGAAATATACATTTTATGGTAATATAATATACCTGAATTGTAAATAACCATTTGTGTATTTGTATGATGATAATTGGATGTGTCTAATTGTACAAAATATGGATTATTAAATAAATAATGGTTTACAATTTGGCCAAATGTAAAGTGTTAAGAGGAAATACAGTAGAATAAAAATTAAAAAGACTATAAATTTTCCAGTGTCCTATTTGACTACAGCGTATTAAATTGTTGTAACTGTCCATATTGTGTGTATACAGTGTAGCAAATATTTGTATAATATAATTTTAAAAAATTTAATACTGTATACTGTTAGCAATACAGTACTTGCAAAGGGTATGAGCAAAATTGAATTGGCTATGACATGTATATGACCACTCAACCCATACTCTCAACTAATGTGTCTCATTTTGTACGCTATGGTCCCCAAATTACTAAGGGGTACTGTGAAAAGTAGCGGCTCAGAAATGTCCACATTTTCGATGCGTAGGTTAATTAGGCTGGGTGGGTGGGTGGCTTGGGGGTCATCGTGCATTTTAGTGCCCCCATAGTTTGTATGTTGTGGCAAATCAAGAGAATGGTGTAGACCGATACTGTATATGCATATTGGAATAATTTCTATATTGTATTAATTGTCTGGTGCAGTATTGCATGACCCCATAGCTTTACCGTATCTACAGTTGAATATTTTGTTTGTGTGTGTGTGTACATGCGTGTACAGTATGTGTGTGTGTGTTGATGAATGTGTGCATGCTAATCTGTATATATACATGCATGTGTGTGTATGCACATTGCATTTGTGTGTGCACATGTATATATATGATGGCACATGTGTAATACAAGACTGCACATATGCATGTGTGTAATACAAGACTACACATATACAAGCCTGTAATATGTGACTGCACATATACAAGCCTGTAATGTGTGACTGCACATGTGCGCATGTAACTCCACATGTGCATGTGTGACTGTACATATGCATGCGTGACTGCACATGCATGTGTGTTGTAATGGCTCGTGCCTGTGTGTATATGGCTGCATATATAGTGTGTGTGTGTATGTATGTATGTGTGTGTGTGTGTGTGTGTGTGTGTGTATATATATATATATATATATATATATATATATATATATATATATATATATATATATATATATATATATATATATATATATATATATATAAAATGTATATATATATATATATATATAAAATGTATATATAATGTATATATATACACACACACACAGTATGTATATGCACATGCTTATGTATTTGTGCACATACATTTGTTCACTCACTCACACACCCACCTGTCCACACATTTGTTCACTCACACACCCACCTGTCCACACATTTGTTCACTCACACACCCACCTGTCCACACATTTGTTCACTCACACACCCACCTGTCCACACAAGGTACCATCTGGGAGGTGAAATCCTGCAAGAGTTAAATAGAGAGAAAGATCTGGGGGTCAATATCACACCGAACCTGTCCCTAGAGGCCCACATCAAAAGGATATCTTCAGTGGCATATGCTTGACTGACCAATATAAGAACTGCCTTTAGAAACTTGTGTATCGGAATCGTTCAGGACCCTGTATACCACTTATGTAAGACCAATCCTGGAGTCTATACCTAGTTAAACACAAGACAAAGTTAGAGAAGATTCAGAAGTATGCCACCAGACTGGTCCTGGAACTGAGAGGAATGAGTTACGAGGAAAGGGTAAGGGAGCTGAACCTCACAACCCTGGAAAACAGAAGAGTAAGGGGAGACATGATAACCACCTACAAAATTCTCGGGAATTGACAGGGTGGACAAAGACACACTCTCTAGCACGGGTGGAACACGAACAAGGGGACACAGGTGGAAACTTAGTACCCAGATGAGCCACAGAGACGTTAGAAAGAATTTTTTCAGTGTCAGAGTAGTTAATAAATGGAATGCCTTAAGTAGTGTTGTGGTGGAGGCTGACTCCATACACAGTTTCAAATATAGATATGATAGAGCCCAATAGGCTCGAGAATCTGTACACCAGATGATTGATAGTTGAGAGGCGGGACCAAAGAGCCAGGGCTCGACCCCCGCAAACACAATTAGGTGAGTACAGCTGTTCACTCACACACCCACCTATCCACACAGTTGTTCACTCGCCCCTTCCCCTACTGATTCACTTTCCCGTATGTTTTCCTTCTTATAACTGATATTCATGTTAGGATTCATTTATTTTTCTGTAATTAACTTGTCTTCTCTTTGCAGGTTACATGCTGTTTATGAGTGATCAGCGTGAAATCATCCGACAAAGTAATGCTGGACTTGCTTTCCACGAGATCACCAAGCTAGTCGCACAGCGATGGGCACAGCTTGATGCCAACACCAAGACCAAGTATTTAGAGGCTGCTGAAGCTGATAAGGAGAGGTGCATCTTTTTAAGACATTTCAAATACTCTTTAACCCTTTTGCTTGAATATTTTAAGTCAAATTAATGAAACTGTTTCTTTGTGATATTCAGCTTTAATCTTGGTTCCTAAAAGTTGTTTGTAGTAGTGTACATAGAAATATGGGCCCTCTGAGTTAACTAGTTAACTGGCCTCTGCAAAGCAGTGTACTTTGAAAGGTGGATACCAGGCATGAAGTTGTCCTCGTTAGTTTTACTACATGTTTGTCTTGGCTAATGCTGTCACGTATGGTGGTTGGTGTATAGAGGGAAGCTAAGAAATTTCAGAACAATTATTGTCTGTCTTGAAGATTTAATGTTCTTCTGGTAAGGATGTTGCGATTTGACATGTTCTTTGGTGTTACAATGAGCTGTTTTGTTGTAGAATTGAGGTATGTTTTTCACAGTAAACCTTGACCTTTCACTGTTGAACAAGACAATTTTGAAAGTTACCAGTACTTGTCTTGGTGGGGCTCTGTCATTTAAAGCCTGGTATACTTGCAATGAACTGGATTGGCCGATTCCAATTGCTCAGGGAATCCACCGAGGCATTTCAGTTGTCTCGGTGCTCTAATATTTGTTTTAAATCACAATTATCCTTTGATGTATCTTATTACATTGATTTTTTAATTTTTATTTGTAGCTTCAAATTCTATTACATATATTTAGATTTTATATACAGAATAAACTTTAATGGGAAATAGGCCAAGTTTAATGTAGTGCGTATAACAAACCTGTTCTCATTATAATGCATCACATTTTGACATATACTTTATTTAAGGGCAAAAACTGATGTACAAGAAAATGATAGCTTCCAAAATTTACATAATGTCCCATTTTCTATTTGTGGGTCTGGTTGGTTAGGTTAGGGCACATGAGTACAACAATTTCTTGACATTATGCAAGATTGCGACAACTGGCTTGCATAATGTGATGCATGTCATATAATAGACATTACAATTTTATCAAATGTAATTATTATTTGTACTCTAAACTTCATATATATTTATCAAAGACATGATCATTCAGATACCAGAGGGAATTAGAAGAATATCAGAAAACGGACGCCTATAAGAAGTTTATGCAGAAGCAGCGGAGTGAAGAGAGTCCACCTCCAAAGAAACCTAGAAAAGAAATTGTTGAAGAGACTAAGGAGGAGGAGGAAGAGGTAAGAAATAGAATTCTTGGTGTTCTTTATGCAATGTCAACATCATACTCAGCCGGTGGAGCGGACAGAACACTGGATGCGTGATCCTGTAGTCCCGGGTTCGATCCCGGGCGCCGGCGAGAAACAATGGGCAGAGTTTCTTTCACCCTGATGCCACTGTTACCTAGCAGTAAATAGGTACCTGGGAGTTAGTCAGCTGTCACGGCTGCTTCCTGGGGGGGGGGGGGAAGGCCTGGTTGAGGACCGGGCCGCGGGACACTAAGCCCTGAAATCATCTCAAGATAATCATCTCAAGAAATCGTTGTTGTAATGTGTCCTTCATACAGGGCCTACAGTAGTGTTGTGTATCCTATATACCGGGCCTACAGTAGTGTTGTGTATCCTTTATACAGGGCCTACAGTACATTTTGAGAGCTTTGAGATGGTCCCAATAATTCAGATGTTTTATTTTTTCTATGCGTGCCATTTATGTTCTCTGTATTCCCTCAGATTCAGAGATCTCTCCTGCTCTGATAGGGAAAATGAGTACCGAGCAATAACTCATTAACCTCGGTATTCAAATATGAGTACCGAGGGACCCCATTGCTATGGGGTCCCTGGATTTGAACATTATCATAATCCATCCTATCATTTTTCTAGCTGCTGCTATATTTGCTCGGTTATGTTCGTTAAATGTCAGGTCATCAGACATCATAATTCCCAGATCTTTTACATGCTGCTTTCCTTCTATGAGTTGGTCTGATTGTCCTGTACCCTGTGTTTCATTTAAGTTCCTTGTTTTCACCATACCTACGTACCTGGAATTTATCACAGTATCAAGTGCCCAATTGAATACTTTATTTATATCTGGTTTTTCAGTGTCTTCTACAGTGACAATTTTCTTTTGTATCATCTTCAAAGGATGACACAAAGCTGTGACACATATTTTTGTCTATATCAGAGATAAGAGTGAGAAATAGCAGTGGTGCCGTGGTGGGCTGTTGCATCAGTCTGGTAGTAACTAGCAGTTTTCCTGGAAGCCAAATATTGCTTGGTAGAGGTAGCTCATTGAGCCTTCTGACAGTTATTTTGAGCTGGATTTAACATTTTCCCCACGTGTCCTTGGCTCATACATGGCCTGGAGGTAGTCAGCTTGAAGAGATTCCTGATGCATTGGGTATGAGAAGCTCGTACTTGTCAAGCTGGAATTTGGTTATGTCCGGCGAAAGCTGAATATTGCCTAAGGGAGCAACTGAGTGGTTAAGCTCAGAAAGTCATGAATATAACAATATGCTTACTCTGAAGGCAAATGGTTTCTGCACATCCTACATCTTTTAACAAAGTTTTTAACAATATACAGTAATTTATAACTATTCATATCGTCAGTGGTTGCAGCTCGGATATTTATATTCTTGTAACATTATATTTGTTTATTTTTTAATGTATATACTGTACCTGCATTAGTTGTCTGTTGAATTATTAGACCATTTTCTTTATATAGGAACCAATGAATCCCCAGTCTGCATTGGAGATACCCATCTTCACAGAGGAGTTCCTGAACCATAACAAAGGTATTTGAAATTGTTAACTATCCTTTGTAATGTTTACCTAGTGTTGGTTCAGGAAAGCTCCTGTCTAGTCTTTATCCAGCATTAAGTCTTTGACACGGTGATTAAGAGACAGTCGGCAGTTGATATAGCTGGAGAAGCTTTAATATGTGGTCTTTCTTACAAGAAATTTTTTTATTCAATTTAAACAAGAGCAACTTAATTTACAGGTAATATATGAGAGGACATACAAATTTATTTAGACATGATGGAAAAAATATTTACTCTTTGAATTTAGGAAACTTGCCTATTAAATATATGTAGACAAAGATATCATTGTTTGTCTCATAAAAGAATACTACTTATTTTCTGGATGTCCAATTTGTTAGTGAAAACATGAACACATTATAAAATATTAATTTTTGTGGATCTGTATACATGTGCAAATATATGACCTGATCATATTTTCAAAATGTAACACAATGTTCAATATAAAACCATATTTACCCTTGGATTGTTCAAGGCTTTGGTTCTTGTTAAGGTATGATACCATGCTTAAAGAACAGTCTTAGTTCCATGTATAGAAATTGGGCAATATATGATTTTACTTTGGAGGAAATAATTTGTGCATTTTTTCTTTATGGAAACATTTAGAGTTGTAGATAGAATTATGTATGGGCAAGACTCCTTGTTTGTTGCCTGAGCAAATGGGCTGGGTCCACCCAGAGTTCTGCCAGGATTTCTGGCTCTCATCGACCTAAGAGCTACCTTGTATGTTTCAATAGGCCTTCTGTAGTTTCCTTTGGTCTTATGTTAATCTTATGCCGTGGAGAGGGGGGGACCTGCTGCCTGCGTAACAGCTTCTCCCCCGAATCAACCTACCCTGGCTTTGCGCCCTGGTGAGGCCACTCCAGACCGACAACCAGAGCGCAACTCCATAGTCTCAGTCTCCTGAGACTGATGGATGCCTACTACTATGTTAATCTTGACAAGAAACTTAGAAATAGTCAGAAAGGGGACTCATTCTCAGTAAACCACCAGTGCAAGGGTTCACTACAATAAAGTACAGAAATAAACTACTTGCCATCCCCTTCAAATGATAAGGGTTGCCAGGACAGCCAATTATCCTTCTGCTAGCTGTTGGTTACTGAACCACCCTATCTCCTTACTGTCACCAGGTACATTCTTACAACTTTGAGCCTGGTGATTGCTTTATCCATTTGCAGCTCCTGCCCTCTTTTCTCACAAAAATAAGACTTCAGTGTTTTGTTTTGACTTTTTTTTGTGATCCAAATTTGGCTTCTCTCTCCTCTGTACACAATAATAATGTGTGTCTAGTAGTGGCATTGCAGCATTATACAGGCTTCTCATGCTTTACTCTTGTCTACCCACTTTAAATCTACACCTTTTGGCCCTTTGTAATAAAACTCGTCTCTCAGAGTTACCATGGTGAAAATTTGTCAACCCCACGTCTATTTCTGTGCTAATGATTCTGGAATTTTTCAACACTTGCCATGTACTACTTGGTTATGTTTTCCTCTGTGATTGGTGCCCATGGTGGGCACCAATCACAGAGCCGGTCGGCCGAGTGGACAGCACGCTGGACTTGTGATCCTGTGGTCCTGGGTTTGATTCCGGGGACTGGCGAGAAACAATGGGCAAAGTTTCTTTCACCCTGATGCCCCTGTTACCTAACAGTGAAATAGGTACCTGGGTGTTAGTCAGCTGTCACGGGCTGCTTCCTGGGGGTGGAGGCCTGGTCGAGGACCGGGCCGCGGGGACACTAAAGCCCCTGAAATCATCTCAAGATAACCTCAAGATGGTTTCTGTATGTTAAAGCAAATGTTCACAGACTGTTATCACTTCTCTCAAGTGCTCTGTGTCCTAGATTCATCTTTTCTCTTCCAGTCCTGTCTCTTCTAGTTTTGGTATCTGGTGGTTCTTCCCCAGTTCCCTCACACACTAGAACCTTCTGCATTGTGGATCTGGATTGGACAAGTTTCCTAATTGAGTAGTGTGTCTGTTGCTTTCATGCCTGCCCTCTAAATCTCTACTTTCATAACATGCTAGGATGAGCTGGGCTTTAAGTGGAAGCAAGCAACTCTTCACACTGCCATTTTTGTGTAGCCGATAGTAATCGGATAGTAGATAGCTTGGTAAATGGTAAATTGGATAGTTATAGCTTGGTAAACAGAAGAATTATTCTTCTGCTACCATGGTAAATGGTAGCAGAAGAATAATAGTCTGTTTTGGTGACTCGATTATCATTTTAATAGGATGTTGGGTAGGTTCTGCTCTTCTAATATTTATACATTTTTACAGGTATTGCAATGTATGGCACGTAGTTGCTCTAATGGTTAATGGAAATACCACTATTACCCTTTCCTAATGTGGCAAGACAATTTGAAATGTCCCATATCATGATATGAAGATTGGCAGCAGTCTGTTGTCTTTGCAATGTCCCAGTTGGACCTTGGCTATTGGATCAAGGAGGAATAAAGTGACCTCTTGGGAAGGAGCATTTTACATTACTTGGCATTCTATTTTGTCTGCATATAAATACTGTATGTATCTTTCTGCAGCTCGAGAAGCAGAGCTGCGACAACTTCGCAAATCTAATACGGATTATGAAGAACAGAATGCCATCCTCCAAAAGCATATCGAAAGCATGAAGTAAGTATCTTGTAGTATTTCCTTGTTAATTATTTTATTATACAGTTTTTAAATGAAATTAAAATAAATAAAAGAGTACTGAAATAATAAGTCTTGCTATTTTAGTTATGTGACATAAATGGAGGTACAGTTATAGAGTAACAAATATGAACAGACATTTTATGCATCCATACTAGTTGCTACCTATGATATTACGCTTTTAAGTATGTTATTTAAGGTCTCTTGTGTGCAAGACTTGAGTGGTTTTGCAGTATTCTTACAGGTAATACATCATGTAGACATTGTTTGCCGATTAGGACAAAATTGTTTGGTTGGGTATTGGATGGATGTGTGGGCCTCAGTAAGGTATATTGTTAGCAAGTGAGGATCTTGATTACAGATAGCAAGTACATGGAGAATTATAGTAAATCCAAGTATATGTCAATAGAAACCATTTATTAGGTTTTGGAATAAGGAATTTTGATTAGGAGTGGAGAGTTTTATTCATTAGGAAATATTGAATATAGAACTTTGCAATAGGAATTGCAAGAATTTGTGGCTCAGCAATTGTGGTTTATCACAGGGAATGGAGCTCTCTGATGTTAACTTGTAGGACTAGACATGTAGTATATTGCCTATAGTTGAAGTGACTAAAGAAAAGCTACATGAAGGTAATTTTATAGACAAGAGGTACTTCTGGGTCTACATAAAAACATTTTACTGACCCTAATATACAAGATCCATTGTATCCTCTGGACAAAAATCATGGAAGTCCAGTAGGTTACATTCTTAGCATTGATGACATACAGAGCTTATCAGACGGTCCCTGCAGGATTACAAAAGATACATAGACAAGAGATGCTTAATCTGGTTCAGGTTAAGCATTTGAGCGTAAAACCTACTGACAAAAGTTCCATATAAACTCCAAGATGTGTAAGAGTTCTCCGTAGGGCTCAAATGAGGCTTTACCCAACAAAGCTACTGCATAGATGTGGGTTTTCTCTGTATGGAACCATTTTAAAATGTCCAAGTAAATCTGAGAAGGATATTTTTAATTGTTGAATAAAGCTATAAGTTACATAGTCTTCCTGGCTTGGTGCCTTATTTTGATTATTATTTATGGCTACAAGGAACATTATATTTCAGGTGCACTGTGGATAGACTAGAGTCTGAAACCAGCCAGCAGCGTAGTAACAATGCTGCACTTCAGCAGCATATTGAAACACTCAGACGAACACTTACTAAGGCATTTATGTCCCTTCCTCTTCCTGGTAAGATAATTTCTATATTTGCTTCTTATACAGTCCTCTTTTAAAAATTCAAAATTGCATTCTTCTTGAGTATCAGAGATGAAACTTGCTGTTGTAGTTATTTATGCAGTGTAATAGCAGTTAGAATTAAAATTATTGCTTGAGGATAAATTCAGAGTAAGACTGGTATGATAATGAGGAGCCATAGACTATTATATGTGCTGTAATAAGTTTTATTGTGATCCAAGAATAGATGACAAATCAATGCAATGAAATGCCTCTTTCTAAGGGGGACCTCTGTGGCTTCCTGTTGCTAACTGTACTGAGATAGCTCTGCATTATTTAGTCACTTCAGCCCTTTAAGTCATTAAAAGCCTTCTTGGTCCAGAAACGAAAACGTGGCCTCCTCAAAGAGAGAGAGCGCAAGCAAGGCATACGTGATCACCCCTCAATGACAAATCAAACCCCCAAAAAGAAGTGAAGCAAAACAGACACCACCAAGGTCAAAAGAGTAAACAAAACAACACGACAAACAAGCCACCCAGTAGTCAGCCCCCCCCCCCCTCCCCACCTTTCCCAAGTTACACCATCAGGTAGCAGCACCACTGGAGCTGCTGGCTCCTCTGTCACCAAACACTTGGTCATGAGCTGAACGAAACCCATAGGCGCACCAGGCAAGGAGGAAGGGGCTTTCATTGATCAACCCCAGAATGCCCCCATCCTCATTTGTGCATTGAAGTTATAGTCCCTTACACTACTCAAGATGAGGCATGTTCCTCAAGAGGATGGTCTCAATGTCAAACACACCAGGAAAGTAACCCTTTCAGTGCAGGGGCAACACCAATGAGCACTTAGAAAAAGACAGCCCTAAACACACATACAGTACCTCTATGTGAACCGAAGCCAAAATCCACACAACAAGTGAAGCATGTAAATGCATGCATATGAAGTATAGATTAAAGTACAGTATACACACTTACACCGGGCCTCCACAGGATAGTCCAAAGGATCGCCAACACGTTTACTGCATAGGAAAAATGCGGGACTCGAAGAACTGGAGACTCAATGTAATGGTCAGCAGTAGCTGACATGAGGCAAACGACTAAGGGTTTGTGAACATGTGAAGCCAACAGCTCCAGTGGTGCTGCCACCTGGTGGTGGACACTGGTAACTAGGGGATGTGACCTAACTGCTGTGTGAATTGTTTGTTGTGATTTGTTTATTCTTTGGACCTTGCTGCTGTCTGTTTAGCTTCACTTCTTTCTGGGGGCTTGATTTCTCAGTGAGTGATCATATATTCCCTGCTCTCTCTGCCTCTTTGAAGGGGGGGGCCAGGTTTTGGCTTTGAATAAAAATAATGTAAATAAAATGTAGTGTTGCATCGGGGAATGGGTACAGTATAATGAGTGCATCATGCTTTCTCTTCCACCAGGAACCCAAGAAACGCCAACAGAAGAAAGCATCGACAGTTACATGGTACAGCTTCATTCCCTCATTGTCAATAATCCACAGCAACACCAGAGTCTTATACAGACAGTACGAGGAATCGTTAGTCAGCTTGCGCTTACTTGATTAAATCCTGCTTAGCTGGTGATCCCAGTATGATTAAAATGGAAGTGAATTGATTATTTTCATTGCTTCTTACAGGAAATGTAGCTTATGGTTAAGTCTTTACCTGGTACCTGATTTTTTATTGCTTTAATATACTGTATTGTAAATGTACTGCTTAAGGAAGGACAAAGAATGCTAGCAAGGTAATAAGTAGAAACTTATTTTAATCCTCGAAGATTCATTATATTAAGTGTTTACTCCTTCAGGGTTAAATTGTTCAGGGCAACGAATGCACTTCTACTTACTGGTTTATTGTAACACTACCATTTGCTGGGTTATTGTAGCACTACTTACTGGCTTATTGTAGTGCTACTACTTACTGGCTTATTGTAGTGCTACTACTTACTGGTTTATTGTAGCACTACTACTTACTGCCTTGGCTTTCAACAAAAACCAAATAAACTAACCTCATATTTTGCCTGCAGTATCTATCCATTACTGTAGTCACATTGAGAGCAGGGGATAAGTCAGTGCATGTTACCTAAAATAAGGTGACCGGCTAGCTAAACACTCGTGTTCCTGTTTTGGCTCTCAAGTAAGTAAAGTATTACTAGAGGTTTATATGGATGAGATCTGGATGTGTTTAAAGACTGAGGACTCAGATTAGTTGGGATAAATATTTAGGACTTGGCAGCAGATTGTCAAGTGGAATTATGGTGAAATGATGTAAACAAGATGGATAAAAGTTTGTGTGGAACAATTTAGTTTTTTTATTCTGAGTATAAGATTGTCTGACTTTACTGTAAAGCTATGTGATATGGTGAAGTATTTGTATGATTACTTATAAGATTAATGTGCTCTTTCTGGAAGAAAGTGAATGAGAATGTAAATCATATGTTTTGTTATACAAATCACTCTTAATCAAGCACAATAAAAAGTTTATACTATGCTTACCATTTCCAAATACAATGTGTTATACAGGGTAGTGGAAAGTTTTAAACAATGTTTTAATTAATGAAACATGCCAGGGTTAATACTTGATGTGTTTCAGAATGCTAAATGCTTAATAAACTCTACTGTATATAGGTCTACTAAACAGGATTTCAGAAGAAATTAAATTCCATGTGATAAGACTTGCTCAAGATTAACGTATTTAAAAATGTATATTTTTCACTTTTAATGGTTGACTAAATGTTTTGCAGTCCGCTCCCCTTTGTACGTTTGTCTGACTTCCTTATTAGTACTATCAATATATTTTTAAAATTGTTTGATTATGTTTAATAGTAGATATGTCTTATCAGAGTTATTTGCAACTAAATCATATTTTAGAAAAAGCTAGTCTGCCTGGTAGATTGGTGAAAGTCTTTACTGCTATTAAATGAACTTGTTGGAGGCGATGAGTCACAATAACGTGGCTAAAGTATGTTGACCAGACTACACACTAGAAGGTGAAGGGACGACGACGTTTTTGTCCGTCCTGGACCATTCTCAAGTCGATTCGAGAATGGTCCAGGACGGACCAAAACGTCGTCGTCCCTTCACCTTCTAGTGTGTGGCCTGGTCAAAATGAACTTGTTCTCTTTCAAAGCAAAAGAAACCATTTGCAGAATTGTAAATTACAGGTTCCTTATTACTCTGTATGGCCTTTTCCACAATATACCAGTATTAAGTTTATCTAGAAGTTGAAGAATGACTAAATTTTGCTTCTTTCTGTAAAACAATGTTACCTACACATTTGTTTATTAAAGCAAAACATTACCTTCAGTTATTCATGTTTTACAGTGAAGTTATATTATCTGGTTATTTTCATATGCAAGACACATTGATCATTAATACTTTGTCGCTGTATTCACACACATTGCATGAATTTTCACTCGATGCTTTGTATTGCTCATATTTATGGTGATCTAAGTAACAATGTGATGTAAAAGTTGCAGTCTGGTTCTGTATGCCTCAGGAACATCATTAGGCAAATAAAACCTATGCTAATTGGTATTTATTTTGAGTAGCCTTTGTATTGTAATTTGTAAGTCTGTGTACCTTACCTTACCTTGAGGTTACCTTGAGGTGCTTCCGGGGCTTGGCGTCCCCGCGGCCCTGTCGTCGACCAAGCCTCCTGGTTGCTGGACTGATCAACCAGGCTGTTGGACGCAGCTGCTCGCAGCCTGACGTAAGCCCCTGTCATCTTTTACAGTACACTTACACTCCCAGTTACGCACAAGGATGTGTTCCCAGAAATTGTGTGTTAAGCTGAATTGCTAAGTAATTTGTTAAGGGTCTTTGGTAAAAATAGTGTGATCTGTTACCAAGAACGTTTATTATTTGAAAAATTACAACATACAAAGTAAATATTTTATGTCCATTGAGACAATTCAATATGACTAATTAGATATAATGTTTTCCTGTAAGTTTTTAATATTTATTAAAACAGTATAGCACTAAATCTATTTTTTAGCTAAAGGTTTGCCGTTCTTATTTGCTATGTTATGATCATAACATAATAATGTATTATAAACCAATTATTTATAATACAATTAAATTATAACATGAGAATAATCTGTTTATGACAAAGGTTCATTTGCCAGTTTACATGTAGACTATTACTGGAACCATAATATGCATTCAGACCATCACAAATATCTTGGTAACTATCCAGGTGGTTTGAAGAGGGTTTGGTCTCATGGTAATGGATTTGGTCCTAGTGCTTTTAATCAAATATTTTAGTATTCGAGTCTAAAATGTAATTCAATAACCAATTAACTATATATATGCTCAAAGTTGAGAATGCAAAAGACCAATTAGATTTAATTGAGGGTCTTGTGATAAAAATATAAAAGTCCTGGAGTTTTAAAGAGAGAAACTTCAAAGGAAACTGATAACACAATCATAACATTCCCGGTGCAGCCTCTGCACTATGAAATTATATTAACGCACACTAACGCACCTAATATACAGTACTAGAATAGCATTAAATCAATGTTATCTACATTGATTCAGTGTAATATCAATGTTTGACCAGATAGCTAACTAGGTTAGTCCAGTGACTGCTCGGTTATAAATTACTTTACAACAAAATGGCATGATGAATAGTACCAGATGATTGATTGATTGATGGTTAAGCCACCCAAAAGGTGGCACGGGCATGAATAGCCCGTAAGTGGTGGCCCTTTTGAGCCATTACCAGTATCAAGAGCTGATACTGGAGATCTGTGTTCAAGTTCAATCTGTGGAAGTGCGACCGCACCCTGCGTGACGGGAGATGTCTCCCGTGCCAGATTATTGATTGATGATTGATGAAGATTAAGCCGCTCAAGAGGTGGCACGGCACGAATAGCCCGTAAGTGGTGGCCCTTTTGAGCCATTACCACGGGAGACACCTCCCGTCACGCAGGGTGCAGTCGCACCTCCACAAATCTCCAGTATCATCTATTGATAGTGGTAATGGCTCAAAAGGGCCACCACTTACGGGCTATTCATGCCCGTGCCACCTTTTGGGTGGCTTAATCTTTATCAATCAATCATCAGCCATTACCAACCAGTATTAATAGATGATACTGGAGATCTGTGGAAGTGCGACCGCACCCTGCGTGACGGGAGATGTCTCCCTCAGATTATTTGCTATCGATTGCTTATATAATCGGTCCCCACACCACCTGATCATCCTCTATTTGGTTAGGAAGTACAGTAGTGTTAGCAGTAATTAGGGAAGAAGTATGAATTTGGCATTAATGGAGTAAGTAGAATTTATTTATTTATTTATATATATACAAGAAGGTACATTGGGATTGTGAGGATACATAATATAGTAATTACAATCTTGTAAAGCCACTAGTACGCGCAGCGTTTCGGGCAGATAAGCCCATCTCATTATCTGCACATAATCTAATGAGAGAGCTACACTAACTAAAAGTTCATCCAATATCCCCATCTTACAGGATAGTCAATCATACATAGAATCAGGCGAGAACATGAAATGGCAAACTCTAGGTACAGCACAAGAATATCTTCCATTATTCATGAGTGTATGAAGCAATTACATAGCTCAATGTACAGTACCTCATATAACATTTGGTCTGAAATCACTGTTTTGTTATTTATTTTGTATTTATATTTATACAAGCGTTTTCACATTTTTGTAAGAACGTCATTCTTGTAATAACGAGGCAATCACTAAAAATAATAATGACCCAACTCAAAAGTTATTACTGTACATTGAGCTTTCATAACTGTGACTATTAAAGATGAGGATGAGCAAGGCGTAGATGAGTAGGGCGAGGATGAGTAGGGCGTAGATGAGTAAGGCGAGGATCAGTAGGGCGTAGATAAGTAGGGCGAGGATCAGTAGGGCGTAGATGAGCAGGGCGTGGATCAGTAGGGCGTAGATGAGTAAGGCGAGGATGAATAGGGCGAGGATGAGCAGGGCGTAGATAAAGTGCTAGTCATGTTGACTGACATGAATCACACACATATTAATACACGAATTAGCAATACTGGCGCCATATAAAGCACTAGACGGCAACGTCGCCGACCACCTTAAATCCAACATTACAAGCTTGCCTGACCACATATCAGGCTCAAATTAATACTAAATACACCCCTTTTTATTATATTTAAATACTGATTACATATCGCAGAGTAGGATGTTAAATAAAAGAGTTATGGGATAATATTAAGGGAGTTAAGGTGGTAAGTGGCAGTAAAGATGGCCGCCTCAGCTGACCCTGAGGAGAGAGGCGCCGCAGACGCTCCTACGACATGGCCGAGCTCCTTGACGTGCAGGTCAGTTCTCTCGAGTAATTATGGCTCATTTCCTCCCTCCTGATGGACTGACACCCTGTCAGTGTCTAGTACATGACTGGGTCTTGGCCTGCTGGTCCTCCAGGCTCGTGTCAGGGGCGGTGTGACTTGCTGTAGCCTCGTTAGTGTTGGGTTGTTGTTGTTGTTGGGAGAGGAAAGATGGTGTGTGAAACTGTGTGTGTGTGTCTCACGAGGTGTGTGAAGCTGTGTGTGTGTCGTCTCACCAGGTGTGTGAAGCTGTGTGTGTCGTCTCACTAGGTGTGTGAAGCTGTGTGTGTCGTCTCACCAGGTGTGTGTGAAGCTGTGTGTGTCGTCTCACCAGGTGTGTGTGAAGCTGTGTGTGTCGTCTCACCAGGTGTGTGAAGCTGTGTGTTGTCTCACGAGGTGTGTGAAGCTGTGTGTGTCGTCTCGCCAGGTGTGTGTGAAGCTGTGTGTGTCGTCTCACCAGGTGGGTGTGAAGCTGTTTGTCGTCTCACCAGGTGTGTGTGAAGCTGTGTGTCGTCTCACCAGGTTGGTGTGAAGCTGTGTGTGTCGTCTCACTAGGTGTGTGAAGCTGTGTGTGTCGTCTCACTAGGTGGGTGTGAAGCTCTGTGTCGTCTCACCAGGTGTGTGAAGCTGTGTATGTCGTGTCACCAGGAGTGTGTGAAGCTGTATGTCTCTCACGAGGTGTGTGTGTGAAGCTGTGTGTTGTCTCACCAGGTGGGTGTGAAGCTGTGTGTGTCGTCTCACCAGGTGGGTGTGAAGCCGAGTGTCGTGTTACCAGGTGAAGCTGCATCTGTTGTGTTACCAGGGAAGGAGACACCTTGACAACTCTTGCAAGGGGTAAGGAGTTGTCAAAGAGCAAGAAAGTGTTTTGTCTAGGTTACAACCTGTATGAACCCTTGGCCTTGACGGCTGTGATTATCATGACGAGTCAAGTACAGCCATCCCAGGAGGAGTTGATCCTTGAGTGGTACAAATCTTAATTCATCCTCGCTAGATGAACTGATCCTTGGATGGTAAATCATGTCTAGCCCTGTCTTCTGAACTGATCCTTGGCTGGAGGATCAAGTTCATGTTACCTTCATGTTACCTTGAGATGGCTCTGATGACTGATGTTCCTGCAGCCTGTTGTCAGACTCAGACCAACTGTTGGCATTAAAGTTATCTTAAAAAATTTAAGAGGGGTAGTTTAGCCCCTTATACTTAGAGGTAAAGTGTTACAACATTTTGTTTTTGAAGTTTATACAATTGTCCCTTAAGAATATGTATTGCATGAGGCTGCACGTACCATAAAGAAGTACCTATTGCACTTCTACATGTAAGTGTGGCTGTTCCATACATTCAACCATGTCTCCCGGCCTTGTATTTAATTACTGTACAGCACTGTAATTTAATTAATGCTTGTAGATTTGGAACCATCCCACTTAACATTTCCATGTGTAAACTATCTATTGGCAGTTATATCATCCATGACTAGGAGTTTCACCTGTATAAGCATGTGTAGTATGTTGTATAATAAAAGTTTGAGTGCCAATTTGAATGTAATAACGTACAATTAAATCTTTTAAAATATTCAACTATACTATAATTCAGCATCCATAGGTGACTATAAGTAAGGTGAGCATCAGTGCAGAATTATTAAGTACTGTGCTGGCAGCACCAAGGTCAATCCAGCTACTATTGTTAAACCTGTGTTGTATAATCCTTGTCTGGTAACCCATGTTGATCCTTCTATGCTCTAATAAGTGTATTAAACATCTCTATAACCAATGAAAGTAAAATTTACTCCTGAAGTATGTTTAGAATTTTACTATTTGGTCAGCAATGTTTTATGGTGAAATTTAAAACTCTAAACATTGTGCAGTGTGTTTGCCAGGAATGTAGATATGCAACGGGTTCATTTGGCAGGTAAAATAATTATTATTAATGTATAAGCTGTGTAGATTAATATCATAAACAAACTCTTCTGTTATCCTTTAATATTCAATACTGAAGATTATTTTAAATATTAATATATTAATAAAAGTTTTATTTTCAGTGTAAATGTATTAGGTTGTAATTCATAGAAGTTGCAGTTCAAGTACTTCGTTATGTACTAGCTGCCATTGTAATAAATTATAAAGTATGCAGATTTATTGCAAAAGCTAATGTAAAACATTCATTGAGTTCTGATTAAGACCTTGGTGAATAATGACTTGCACCCAGCTTTCTCTCCATGTGTATAAAACCTCCAGCCAGATGGCATCTTATATGATAGATGCACTTTAAAGGTGAAACTGCCACTATCTGAGGAACAATTAATATGTGCAATATACACTTGTAATTTAATCCAAAGTGTTATGGGGAATATTAAAAATGTACTGTAAAATATTTGCATGCTTATTTTGTTAGTCTAAAACCATTTGAGATATTTATGTCAAATTTATTTTAAGGCTGCTTTCTTTGCATATATATTTTGGTTTGCTATGACACTATCTTGCATTTTATGCCTGCATTTTTAATTGTTACCATTTCTTCTGCTGCCAAATAATTAAATGTTTTAGGTGAATGGTGAAATAAAATATTATTTACAGTACTGTATATAGTAAACCAAAGCAGGACTGTGCTGTTGCTGTTGGGTGTTTGCTCCTTAAAAAACGGAGAAATTTAAGAATCCAGAACCTTGGCATGAATTGGATGCTAGCACCAAGAGATGTAAATTGTTAATCTTGAGTTTAATACTAAATTTGACTTATGTTTTGCTAATGTAATTGCCATTTGAAACCACACCAAAGGTGTGTCAACACAGCGTCGTCTTTCCCCTTCACCACCAACTTGCTATAAACGTAAACATGAAATGTACTGTATTACTACACACCATTATCTGCCCACCACAAGAAAAATCAGTTACCAAACCTCCAAGAACCACATATGCAAATTAAAATAATGCACATACACAGGGTGTCCCAGGAGTCTGACCCTATAGGCAAAGTATAAAAGAAAACCATTAGGTGAAGGTATGCAAATGGGTCCATATATTTTTCACGATACTGAACTGTGACAGCCGAGTCATATCTGCATAGTTGCAAAACTTCCTTTTGCCTAAATTGGATGACATACCATTATGCCATCGAAGAGATGCGTGGTTTCAGTATGATGATGATCCACCACATTTTATTTTGTTTGCGAATTTGTATAAAAAACATTTAAGAGGGAAATGAATTGGGCGACATGGACCAATTACATGGTCACCAAGATATCCAGTCCCTAACACCTTTGGATTACCTCCTCTGGGGCACCTTAAATCAGTAATTTATAATAAGTTCTAGAACAATACATGCTCTAGAAGATAATATGAGAATTTGAAGCTAAAGAACTAAATGCTTTCATACTCAGAAATGTTCAAAGGTTATGCATATAATGCATTAAAAAATGGATTGAAGTGAACGGATGTCATTTTGAACATGTGAAGACTAAAAGGTGAAGGGGGAAAGAAAGAATTTTGAACATGTAACTGATAAACTAACTGAATTTAATAAATTATATTAAAAAATCTTAGTGATTTTTGTTTAAACTTTACCTATAGAGCCAGGCTTTTGGGATACCCTGTAGTATAATACAGAAAATTTAACTATTTTACATCTTACTAGAAGTTACATAATCACAAGCCTAGTCTACTTATAATGACTGAATCTGAAAAATATTATAACCATAATGTAAACTATGAAGTAAGACAGAAGGCACTGCAAATACCCTCCTCGGAAGCAAGGGAAGTGTCGGTTACATCTAATACTTGCCGATTATTTTTCACCCTTGGATTGATGTAAAATATTAATGGAGGGGTTTTGAATGCTAAGAGAGCTTAACGAATACGATTAATAAGAGTCTCGTCAGTGTGGGCTCAGATTGTGTTATTAATACAGTCTGTCTTAAATATTTTAGGTTGTGGCGTAATTGAGTTGGAAAACTGCTACAGGTATTACTTAAGACCTACAAAATGGATCATGTCAAGGTATGATTGGTGTGACTTGATTAGTCATCTAAATTACAGTAATTATGTCTTCATTACTGTACAGCCTTGTTATTTCTCTGGTTTAAATAAAAATAAGATAACCTTAACCATAATCTGAAAGATTTCAATTAAAATTAAATACTGTATGACAATTGATGGTTTTCCCCCCTTTTTTTTTTGTTCCTGGCCTAGGTAGAGCACTTAAAAATTAACATTTTCAGTTCTTTACCTACTAGCATGCTGTGACTATTAACATCTTGCAATGTAATCTTAATCTTGCACCCATGATAGTTAATCCAGCAATTTAATTAACAAAGGCAATGGAATTTGCTACAATAATATGCCCATTTTCATTGGTAATGGTTGATGCAAAAGATCATTTTGTTGGTTTTATTTAATGCATGACTAATTTGTTTAAAGTTTAAAGGGATGACATAGGGAACCATGACTGACTGTCATTGAGGGATAACATTGATTCTCTACAGTGATTTTTAGAGCATGGTTGAGTTAGAAGTTAGCAGTCATGTTTTGCATGTGTGTTCGAGTATGCAGGTAATCTGCTATTGCGTCCACAAATAGGGTTTGGAAACTAATCATTGACTTACAGGAAGAGTTAGGAACTAAATTTAATTTTGTTTTAATCGAAAATGATTCCGTAAATACTGTAATGTTTATCTTGTCCCTTGTGTTGATATACAGTAATGGGAGACTATTAATATTGTAACATTAATCCAATATTACTGTTTATAAAATGGTTCCATGTTAGGTTGTTCAGATTGATTTGAAATAGCCTGAAATCCAACTCAAAAGATCATCAGGGCAAATGGGGGACCTTTGACAAGCCACCGGCTTCCTGTCCTTGTCGAGGCCACTAGTTAGTGGGCCCTCACGTAAATTCAGCTAATTTCCAGCATGTACTATTTTAATTGGCATAAAAGTTCTGAAGACTAATTTTCATAGTGATTAATAATTTATATTAATTATGTTTATGTAAGAGTTGGAGTATTATGATTGTGAAGGTATATGCCATTGTTAATTCAGTCAACCAATGGTGGTTTTGCAAGTTACATCTCCCTTACTGAACCCAGGGGGCAATGTGGCCAGATCTCAACCTGTGTTGTGGAAATGTTTGATATAAAATTTTTAAGACATTAGTGCTCTCTAGAGTGGAATATTGTTGCACACTATCAGCCCCATTCAAAGTTGGAGAAATTACTGACCTGGAGAGCATCCAAAGCTCTTTTTACCTTTAGAATCCACTCGGTAAAACATATAAATTATTGGGACCGCCAATAAATTTTAAAGCAGTATTTCCTAGAGTGAAGATGGGAGAGATACATAATAATTTACACTTGGAAAATATTAGAAGGACTCATTCTAAATCTACACATGGAAATAACACCACATGAGACCAGAAGGCATGGCTCAATCAACCATTGAGGACGAGATTAAGATTGAGGAGCTCAATCAACATCAAAGGCCCAAGACTATTCAAGACTTTCCCTACACATAAGGGGCATAACTGGTTGACCTCCTGCAGTGTTCAGTTCATACATAATGAGGGCTGACTTAAACGTCTTACCCACATGTGTGTACATTTATCCATGTATTGACAAACACTTAAGTATGAATAAAACATAATTGTCCTAAGGTTTTAGAAAAATCATTTTTGACTGGTGCTTCATTTACATAATGTATCATTCTAGTGAAATAATAATGAGCTTTATCCTTCATGGTAGGCCATCCCCTTGGTGGTGGGACTGGTGATTGTGGTTGGTACAGCTATTCTCACCAAGCTGTACCTCTCCAAAAAGCGTGGGCCTCCTCGCACACTCCAGGATCCTACTGTAAAGTATCCATTAGAACTGATCGAACGAGAAGAGTTATCTCATGATACAAGACGTTTTCGGTTCAAGCTGCCATCTGCTGATCACGTTTTAGGTAATTAATTTTTTTTAACTAATACTTATTAGCCTTTAATCTGTAGTAAAGGGTTTACCTTATATGGCTCAGTCAGTTATTTTTCATACTATTTTAGATTTTGTGTGATGAAAATATTTTTGGATGTGGACTAGAAAATTGCAAAATTATACAGCACATGTATACAGTATATTTTAGTGGTAAAAGGAAGGTTCCTAGTGTAATTGGACATTGTAGGTCCCAGGTGAAATTTTTTTGGATACAATTTAAATCAATATGGGAAGAGACCCCAATATGAGAAATGAGATCCCAATATGGGATCCCACAAATATATCAGAAATAAAAAAGTTCAAAACCACTACATATTACTGACAAAGGAGAAGGAAAAAAATTTGATAAGCAATAATGGACAAATGCAAAACTGAATCCAGCCTATCCATAACTTCAATAAAAGTAAACAGCATGGGAAGGATAAATTCCATGGATTATGAATGAATAATAAATTTACTGAGACAGGAAATAAATGTGTGAACCTCACTAATAAGGAGAATGTTAAAAATAGGCATAACAACAGACCAGTATTATGGTTTATTAAATGGAAGATCATGCTTAACAATCTCATTTAATGAAAGGGGCCATAGAGGTTTTACAGGAAAGAGATGACCCTTCCTAAATGTAAAAAGTAACTTTTTGAATAAAATCTGTGAGGGGGAGTGGGGGGAGTTGAAGTCAACTAGTTCACTGTTTGACATGGTATCAGGATAAATTGTTCTAAGCTTAGTGTAAAGCTGGATGCATTATTTCTGTTCCAAATTTGTAGTTGTTGGGAATAGTTGATTAAAAAATTTGGGTAAGTGTTATCATATTTAATGATAACTTATCTTTGGAATAATTGGTGTAAACTGTTGTGTATAACGTATAAAACAAATATTTCTTACTTTTCTACCATGTAGGCTTGCCCATTGGTCAACACATCTACCTCTCGGCCCGAGTTGATGGACAGGTGGTGGTGCGCCCCTACACCCCCGTCTCCAGTGATGAGGACAGGGGACACTTGGATCTTGTGGTCAAGGTAAATCAACTCATTTCAAGTTAATTGATCATAATAAACTTGTTTTATATTAGGATTGATAAATATTCCAAATTTGTAAAATATTTTACAACTTTATATCTATAGGAGTATGTGTCTGTCCCTGTCCAAGATTGGAGGCCAGATGCTTAGGGCTAACCTTGCCCAACTTTCACACATGCAGCATGTGGGGTATAGGAGTGTCATAGGCCAGTTGGGGTTGGCTTCAATGCCACTTTAGAAATATTGGCAGCTAACCCTCTCCCTCCTCCCCCTCCCTGTGCAATTTTCATGATCAAATTTTAAATATAAGTTGTGTTGTTACCTATTCACCAGTTTTAGTGCTTTGTTGTGTAATTTTTCTGGGAGAGAGGGAGGGGGTGAGAGAAGAAAAGAGAGGGACGGGGATCTTAGGAGAGGGAGGGAGGGAGATGGAAAGAGGAGGGGGGAGGAATGGGAAACAGATGAGAGAGGAATTGGGGAAAGGGGGCAGAATGAGAGACCTGGGTGCAGCTGGGTATTCTCTCCAGTATTGTATTACATAAATATTAAACTTGTCTTGTGTATCATAGCTCTTGAATGTTCCAAGTTCTCTCACTCTGCTACTTCCTAAATTAACAATAATAGTAGTAGTAAATACACTACTGTCTGAGTAGGAAGAATATGATGATGATGATTCCCGTTGTTGGGCACAGGAAACCTTGTATTGAGATATTCCAAGGTTGAGCTAATGACCTTCTCAAGGATGCTAGCCACAACATGCATGTTGTCATGCATGTTGGTTTGGCAATTAATCAACTGATCTCTATAAAATCAGTTGTATGTGATATAGTCTGTGTCCCTGTGTGTTTCCTGCAGGATGTGATCCTTTGGGTAGAGGTCTCTGTGCGGATTAAGTTCGGGAGTAACTGAGGGGATCCTTGCTCACAAATAAGGTGTTGGAATTATTGAAACTCCAATTTTAGCAGCCCCATTGTTTCCTCCTAATCCTCCCCCCCCCCTCCTTTGTCATGGCTTTTCCAAGTGGGATTTGATTTGATTAAGTAAAGGTTGCTGGCTTCCCTGATCCTATATTATTGTATTGGTGACCTGACTGCAACCCAATGGCAGCTGAGGGATGTGTTGTTTTCTCTGTTCATTAGTTCAGAGTAATGTTCAATATAGTCCAGAGATGTTGGACTATATCGTTCCGCTCTTTGTTGTCGTAACAAACTCTGTCTTCCCTCCCCAGTTGCATGGCAAGACTACTTGCATAGGTCCTTGTTATGATAGGGTGTAGATCATTGAGAGCTTGGTGTCTTACAAAAGTCTTTAGTTGACTCTTGCTGTTGGCTTGTTTAGCAATTCAGCCTCGTTTTTAAATTTTTTTTTTTATCCAGTATTGACTTGTAGATAAGTGATTGTATCATCATAACCTAATATATTGTTTATTATATAAAACTTTGTATAAAACTATTTATATATCATCAGGTTTACTTCAAGAACGTTCATCCAAAGTTTCCTGATGGAGGTAAAATGAGTCAACACTTGGAGGCTATGAAGTTGGGGGAGACTATTGATGTGCGAGGACCATCGGGTTTACTAGAGTACCGAGGACGTGGAGTATTTGCCATTAAACCAGACAAGAAGTCGCCACCAAATTTAGTCACAGGCAAAAAAGTCAACATGATTGCTGGTAAGATCACACATTGCCTCTTTAATTCTTCATGTATTAACATGGTAGTAGATCTTCACCATACTGTTTCAGCTATCACTTGCATTTCTTCAACAATTCCATGTTCTTGCCATACTATTATGCTACGGTATTAAATTTGCTGTCTCGTACAGTATAATGTATGTACGTCATAATAGAGGGTGGGAAATGTGACAGTCATTCTGGAATCGACCATGGATTCTTCATTTCAAAGACATGCCTAACTCCGTACCCTCCAGAATTTATATTCACAAACTTAGTCCATCACTCATTTCACTTTTGCCTACCGATCTTGTAAAGTTGGGAAGATGAATAAATATTTTAAATCTAGTGAAAAATGTTGTGAATTTTCCTGACAATACATGTACTGAAGGTGAAGGGAAGACCCAATATAAGTTTAAGTGTACTAAAAAAAACAAATTTTTGGATGTAACCTAAATCATTTTTCAAGCTACTGAATACAATATTCCTTGAGAAAGTACTGCATACAATATTGTATACAGTACCTGGAGAAAGGATGTAGGTTACATCCAAAAATTAGATTTTTATTACACTTAAACATATATTGGGGTCTTTCCTTCACGTTCATTCAAGCACTATAGCATTGTAGTAAGTTTTTCGTAGTTGTACTTTCATCAACCTAGCCTCAGCGTATGGTCACTACTACTGTATATCTAATGTTTCCCCTACTACCCAGAAACATTTTTGTGCGGTCTCTTTCATTTGTTCATATCCTTGTAATATTTTAGTACGCAAGCTATTTGCATATTCTGTTACTCTGCCTTCTTTCCCGTATCCTCATAAGTATCCCTTCCTGATTTCAGAGATTGAAGCAATTCTTAGATTATCAATGTGTATATGTACAGTCAAGGATATGTTTTGTAATGTAGGCATTTGCATCACTAGGAACAGAAGTGCTGGATGTGAGTGAGTTTATCATTTTATGGGGATGATGATTTTGTTTTTAACCTTACAGGTGGCACTGGAATCACCCCCATGCTTCAGCTGGTGCGTCAGGTGGCTCGTGATGAGGAAGACAAGACACAGCTGGCTCTCGTCTTTGCCAACCAAACTGAGGCTGACATATTACTCAGGAATGAACTGGAGGATGTGCTAGCTCAACACCCAGACCAATTCAAACTGTGGTACACTGTAGATCGTCCAGAAGAAGGTGGGTTCAATGAACTTTTTCCATATACCGTAATGTTCTTGCACTTTCCTTAGCTAGCAATGGAGTAAATATTATTTTAGGAATTTTGGCTAAATTTAAAAAAAATGTAAATTGTCTTCTTGAGCACTAAAATAGCCCCTTGTTTTCTGAGCTATGCTGCTCAGTTGCTTCCTAAAGTAAGAACTTTCTGGGCCTAGGACAAATCTTCTGCTTAGGGTAGGTCATCAATTTGCATTATCAAGAAGGCAACTTTTTAAATTGTCCTTGTTGGATTATGTTGATGCTAGGAAGACTAGAATATTCACTCTTGCCTAATATGGCTGTCAGAAATCCCTTCTTCAAACACCAATTGTGAATCCAAGGACTGCTGATTGATGTTCTTTGCAAACTGCTGAAAACTTCACCCAAAGCATTGATTCTCTCTCATGGAATACTGTTCTGTGCTTACTGTCCCTTTCAAAGCAGACAAAGTCTACTATGTAGTATGAAAATAAGCAAAGAATCTTTGCTTTGCACAAAGAATGTCACGCTTTGGCATACTGTGATTATTGCACCGCTTGTATGCATGACACCACCCAGTTTATATCTGGAGACAACCAGTCTGAATATATCAGACTGGATTCCATTACCCTTTTGTGGTAGAAACATCAAATTTGTTATATTGCGGCCATCAGTTATTCCTGAACATAAATTATGTTTTTACTAATTGAACCTTTTTCTTTCCAGGATGGAAATACAGCAGTGGATTTGTAAGTGCAGAAATGATCTCGGACCACCTTTACCCTCCCGCTGATGATACATTGGTGTTGATGTGTGGCCCACCCCCTATGATTAACTTTGCATGTATCCCCAATCTGGACAAATTGGGGTATTCTCCAAACTTGAGGTTTGCCTACTAATCTGCTTGGACAAGAATTACCAGTGGTAAGAATTAATACTAATAAGAATTAGTATGACATATAATACTTGTTCTGATAAATATTAAGATAGTACAGTATTAAAATTTATGAAACCTAACTGTGGCAGTTATATTGCAATCTGCATTAAACAAAGCCTTTTAGTTAAAACTTAAAAGGTTTATGCAGATATTCCTAAATTGTCATTTTACAGGTACAATACACAAGTTTGTGGATAACATTTAATATTCAGTATCTGCATATTATATGCCTTCTTGCTCCGGGAGTGGTACTCCCTTGAGTTAGTACCCACATGTAGAAACTTTCAGAAATATTTTGGCAACTTTTCCTCCATACTTCCATGTGACAAAGAATACATGAGTAGTTAAAACATGTGTTGAAGATTTCTATTTGCTTTAGCTGCTATGCAAGGTAATACTCGGTGATTTTTGTTGTGAAAATAACAGTATATATATTATTGAGTTGTAATGGAGCTGTAATGAAGGATAAAGTAGGGATTACAGAAACAATGTCGCCACCATTGGTGCTGTAGTGTGAATGTCAACAAGGAAAAGAACAATTTGTGTAATAGTAGGTCACCTGATCTACTGTCTTCTGATATTTAATTAATGTGATATTAATAATTTTGAGAATGTATCTTCTCGAGATGATTTGTAAGTAAATTCTTGAGATGTAAATTGTAAGTACAGTATGTACTTCTGAGGGATGTTTTTAAATTATAGTATATTAAATGTTCTTGTATACTGTGGATTGTTTTTGTTTTTTTGTAGATAGTCGTGAACTAAGAGTATCGTAAATATAGATAACTTAGCGCAACAGAAGAAATATTTTGAATACTGAAATATTTGGTTTAGCATAATCTTTCAAGCAAGATTGTTCTCACTTGAAAATTCTATATACTGTACTCATAACAATAGGGACACAAAAGGTTGTGTTTCATAAACATAATTTTAAATACAATTGTCTTAAAAATTATAGTCTGAATTATTTTGGAAAATGTTTATAGACATGATTATTATTACTTTTGTTTCATAATTTCAGTACAGTATGTTATATTGTCTAAAATTATTTGGTATAATCCAGGTACACTCTTGTTTTCTTGTGTACACCATAGTATAAAATATCTTCACGTAAGAGCTACAAGGTCAGTGTGGTGTGGACATATCTTTAGTTTCGTTTTAGTAGAGGGATTGTTATAATGTGTACGTTCTTTGTATGGAATATGTGGTGAATTAAAGGCTATTTTTGTCTACAGTGACTGGTGCTAGAGCTCCAGTTATAATATAGGGTGAGGGATACAAGTACTGTATTTTCACTAAACATTAGCTACTAATTTCAGACACACGACAGCTTAAACCATAGTATAGATTCTTTATATTATGCAAAAAAATAATGTTTAGCTGTGTATTGACTAATAAAACTTTATATTAAATAAAAATTGACTTGTATTTTTGTTTATACATGGGTCGAGTAGTGCTTCTGGGGAAACCATGGGCCAGATTCACGAAGCAGTTACGCAAGTACTTACAAACGTGTACCTCTTTCCTCAATCTTTGACGGCTTTGTTTACATATATTAAACAGTTTACAAGCATGAAAACTTTCCAGTCAACTGTTGTTATTGTTATAAACAGCCTCCTGGTGCTTCAGAGCTCATTAACTGTTTAATAATTGTCAACAAAGCTGCCAAAGATTGAGAAAAGATGTACAGGTTTGTAAGTGCTTGCGTAACTGCTTCGTGAATCTGGCCCCATGTTACTACATGATATATTGATTTGAGTGAATGCATTAATGCTCCTATTGTTTTTTATTATTATTATTAAATGAACATCAACATGAACCTCTTAATCACTTCAGGGGTTTAACCATAGCTCACATAGGACAATACTGTATATTCATAAGGAATTTTGCAAGCATTTTTACAGATTAATATATTCATATATAGGTGTATGCTTAGGGAAAAGATTCAAAGCCAGTGCATGGAAACATATCACAAAAAATGTCAGGAACTTTTGAAATGTTGTCCTAAAACATATTTAAACATAAGTTTCCAATAGAAACCTGTTAGAATAAATAAAAATTCTGATTCAGTGCATTCTTATAAAAATCATAATATTTAGTTCAAATTTAAAGGGCTTATATTTAATTGAAATTATTCATTCTATATGTTCAGTGCTAGAACTGGAGAATAACACTGAGGTAGACAATAACAACATATTGAGTGGGTTTATGAAGGGTGTCCCAAAACTCAGGAAAGTGGGACCCTGCTTTTGGTCACCAGGCAACACACAACACATTTGTAAATAAAGTGTAAATGCTACTGATGCAAGCTAAACATTTTGGACTATGTTGTTTATTAATATCAGAGCTCAAGTTAATGGTTCCCTATGTGATGCCATATATTCAGAAATTGGTGCCCATCTGTGACACCCTCAAATGCTAGTCTCCGGATACCAACCGAGCCGACGTTCAAAATCGAGCATATAATTCTACTTATACCAAATACAGTAGTTTGGAAAGAAAGAGATATATTATGGACCATAATATACATGGCCATACTTGCAAAATTCCTTTAAAAGTGGGTGGTACAGTATGTCCCTCTTCCTGGAGACTGGCAATAAAGTGTCTGGACACTTGGTTTTGTGATGAAATTCCAGATGCTGTTTTTGTCAGTATCTACATGTGTGTGTGTGTTGCATGTACAGCATCCATTCAAGTGTAATTATCAAGAACAACATCTTCAAACCATATCAAAGTTTTGCAATCTGGACACTCGTAAGTGTCCAGAGACAGTGACTTTACATTTATATACATGTTCACAATGATTTGCACAATTTTCAGATTAAACTTTTGCATTACTTGAACCCTTAGTGTACATAATGCAATCAAGTACTACAGAGGTATTATGCAAGTTAGTTTTTGGAAAATAAAGTTATTTCTTCAGATAGTGATTTTCTTTTAAAGGTCCTTGTTATTTCAATGTATTAGCTATGAACATTGCAAATAAATATTTTACCCAGTAAATGTAAATATAAGGTTTTTTGAAGTTTTTCATCGCCTTCAGGTAAGAATAGGGTCTTGTACCAGCTCAGTTATCCAGGGCTAATATTTTATAAATCTTTAGTAACTGGCATTTCTATTATCTTAAAGCACAGTACTGAATTGTAGGAACTGGAATATACATAATTATATCAGGCTTTCTTAGTTATATCATTTGGTTGCTTCCATAAAATGGGACCAAATTGCTAGGCAAGTCAACATTTAGCTTTGACACAGTGGGTCTCTATTTAAAGACACCTGTTTATTTTGGGAAGAACAGGACCTTTACTAACCAAAGTGGCCAAAAAATTTTAAACAATTTAATTTTCAGAATGTTGTGTTTCTATATAGCACTTGACAGGAAAAATGAGGACAACCCAAGAGACAGGATATGCATATAATGTAAGATTCTTATTTTGTATTATCCTCTATGGACAGCTGTTTATCATGCTAAACACAACATTTTCATTACCCTTGTCAGTATTGATAATTACGGTACTGAAATATTTCTCCCACATTCAGGAGAAAATTATTGTTATTCCAGGGTATTTATGTAAATTATAACACTTTAGCTAGAATGCAATTATATTGTGAATATGTTATTGGTTCCCCATTTTCTGTTTATTTAACCAGTAAGACAAAATCCAGTTCAAATCATTTTACCAGTTTTAAGCTAGTAAACAAATATACTCGACAATTGCTTCCCGATTAACTGGTTCGTTTGTGGGGGCAGGCAATGCAATTTAAAAAATATCCTTATCTAACCAGTTAAGTCTGCCAAGATATTTCACTGAGAATAGTGAAAGATGGACGTACTACAATATTTATTTATGTTATCCATAAATGCCATGGGGAACATACTGGACTAAGTATTCTTCAGCAGACAGGTTGACAAAATTCCCTGCTGCTGTCAAGTGTATGAGACACTAGTATGATGTTGCCTTTGGGAGTGACCAGTTTTCCTACTCAAGAGAACTTTTCATATACACTTAAAAGCCAGATTTTTATTCCTGCATTACAAATTTTGCTTTTTCAATTTAAAAGATGGTCTTTCCTTCCCCCCTCAAAAAAAGCACATAGAAGTACAGTAAAAGCCATTTTCATTCGTAAATGATGAATGAGATTCAGGCCCAATTTACTCATTTGAAGAAGATGTAACGGTTCTATTGTTACGTAAAGTATGGTGACAAATAAACACAGACACTAAGATACTATATATATATTTGGTCGAATATACAGAAGTACACAGGTGATACTTTGGTGTGAGTTGAGCGCACTGAGCGTCGGTACAGTATCTCGCAAGTGTCTGCTCTAGACCACACTTGAAAGTAGACTCTGGTTAATGTTTGCTATTCTGCTGCTTATATGCTCAGGCAACACCTCACCGTGTTGCCCGGGCAACGCCTCACCTCATTCATCTCCAAAGGTTGACAGGAATATTAACAAAGCATTTGGAGCGAGTATATTATTGGGATAATCTACTCGCTACAGAACTCCCCCTCCCAGGGGATGAAAGGAAAAATACTTGATCAAGGAACTTAGCTGGTCGGTGAATTGTACGCCCTGCTCGCGTTACATAACCATCAAAGTTAACTTCCTCCTCTTCGCTGATGTCATCTAACTGGGGTCGTAGGGTGGGAGGTCGCACAGGATCGTCCGTCGTCGTAGGATCAGGTTGTGGTGCGGCTGGTAACTGGGGTTGTAGGGTGGGAGGTCATACAGGATCGTCCGTTGTCGTAGGTGGCGGTGCTGCTGGTAACTGTGGTCGAAAAGTGAACTGCGTAGTCGGCGGATGTGTCTCTGGAATTAGCAGTGTCGCAGACGTTTGAGACGAAGACTGGAGCAGAGCAGAGAGCTGAGTGAGGCCGGAGTCGTGGAGCTCTATGTGGGAGAGCGTGGCGGCTCGATTGAGAATTGTGAGTGTCTGAACTCGGGGAGCGAGAGCGTAGCGGCTCGATGCGGTCGTAGTCTGCTGTCTGCTCTGTGTCGAAGCTGTAGCGTCTTGGGTTGATTAGGACTGTACACGCCGAGTACTACATTGTTGACTGTGGAAATTGTAGTCTGGTACCAAAAGATGTAGGCAGTGTGTGGACAAGCTCGGTGTAGCAGGAGAGAAGAATGTGCATAATTGTTGCGTCCTTGGGTCGCTGGTGGAGCATTTAGATCCGGGGCGGATGGGCTCGGGCACCAGGACATTAGGAGGTAATGTAGGCACGTAGTTAGGACAACTAGGGAATCACTGCTAGAGCTGAATTGTCCTGAAGGCGACGAAGTGTTGGAAACGCAAGCTGTAAGTCCTGTACTGCGCAAGGGGCTTGAGTCGGCCGAGTATCAAAATGCAGTGAACGTGAAGATGAATCTGATGACAGAGCAGCTGTCGTGGGTGTAGGACAAGCAGTGCCCTGGCAGCGACGGAGAGTCGGCAGGACAAGCTGTAGATCCAACATGATGTAATCATTGATGAGGCTGTCAGATGAGTGAGTAACGATCGTGGAGCAGCAAGCCGTAGTAGATGAAAATGCAGAGATGGTCGCGATGAAAATCATAGCTGTGGCGAGGGTGTTGGCAGTGTTCCATCACAGCAAACAGCAGCAGTAGAAGTCCAGTGAGAGTCCATGTTGTAGTCCATCGTGACTGGGTATCGTCGAAACTCTCCGGGGTCACCAATGTAACGGTTCAATTGTTACGTAAAGTATGGTGACAATAAACACAGACACTAAGATACTATATATATATTTGGTCTAATATACAGAAGTACACAGGTGATACTTTGGTGTGAGTTGAGCGCACTGAGTGTCGGTACAGTATCTCGCAAGTGTCTGCTCTAGACCACACTTGAAAGTAGACTTTGGTTAATGTTTGCTATTCTGCTGCTTATATGCTCGGGCAACACCTCACCGTGTTGCCCGGGCAACGCCTCACCGTGTTGCCCGGGCAACGCCTCACCTCATTCATCTCCAAAGGTTGACAGGAATATTAACAATGCATTTGGAGCGAGTATATTATTGGGATAATCTACTCGCTACAGTGTTGGTGAGTATGTCCCAGCTCTTGTTCACATAGTTTACAATTGGAATATTCACCATTGGGGGCTATTCATTACCTGCAGCCACCTGCCATACATATCGATATCCTAGCCTAATTCTGGCAATTACAATGTCACACTGTCATTGTGACACTAGTGGAAGTTTTATGCTGTCCGTTCATATAATTCTCGATTCTAAACATGTTTACTTAGTTTAGTTCATTAATTATGCACCCCATATATCATCTTGTGGGCGGTAGTGGAAAAGGTTACAGAGGCACATAAACATGTCATAGCTCTTTATACTCTTGCTTTCTGGCTTTTGTGTGTCAGTGACTGCTCTTCTGTCTTCCCTAATTTCCTAAAATATTGCGGCTTT